ACATGCTGAGTGTGTTCTTCCCTTTTGCTTTTCTAACTCCAGGTCTTTGCACATTTCATTATAATAATTGGCTTTGTCTTCTCAAGCTGCTCTCTGAAATCTACTGTTCAGCTCTTTTATCTCATCATTTCTTCCATTTGCTTTAGCTACTTTCCACTCAAGGGCAAGCTTCAGACTCTCCTCTGACATCCATTTTGGTCTTTGCTTCCTTTCTTGTCTTTTAATGACCTTTTGCTTTCTTCATGGATGACATTCTTGATGTCATCCCACAATTCCTCTAGTTCAGTCACTGGAGTTCAATGCATCAAATCTATTCCTTAGATGGTCCCTAAATTCAGGAAGGATATTATCAAGGTCATGTTTTGGCTCTCATGGACTTGTTTTAGTTAGTTGTCTTCAACTTCAACTTGAACTTGCATATGAGCAGTTGATGATCTGTTCCACAGTCAGCTTCTGGCCTTGTTTTGGCTGAAGATACTGAATTTCTCCATCGCCTCTTGCCACAGATGTAGTCAATCTGATTCCTGTGTGTTCCATCTGGTAAAGTCCACGTATATAGCCATCACTTATGTTGTTGAAAAAAGGTATCTTTTTGTCTGTATGATGAAATTTTATTCCAAGCCCATTTTGAATATCTTCTGCTTTCAGAAGCTATCTGTAGCAGAGACTGTTAGTTACCTAACAAATTTCTACTGCCCCCTTCTTCCCTAACAACAGATTCCAAATTTTCAGTTTCACAGCTAGGAGTCTGTTCTGAATACCTAATGTCACTCTGACATGAATATATCACAAATGTGATGGCCTTAACACACAGGAGTTTATTCTCTCACAATTTGGAGGCTTTAAGTCCAAGTTCAAAGTGCCATGCCCTAGGGGCTGTGTGAAAGCCCCTCAACCTTGGGCTTCAGCTCTGCCTCTTGCTCCTGGCCCACTGAAGCTAGAGGCATCTCTTCACTCAGGCAGTTAGTGACTGCTGAGGCTAACAAGCCCAAGGTCGACAAATAAAACGGCACAGTCCTGATGTTACCAAACCACATGGCAGGTTTGGTAACCATTTTAAGTCCCAAGGTTGGCAGAGCATGGCAGGATGCTGAACAACAACATGCCTACATGCAGGGTCCAAGCGTGCCATATGCTAGAGGCCATTCCCTAAGGCTTCTGTTTACATACAGGACGCAGACCACATTCCCTAAGGCAGCTACTCAACTGCTCATAGTAGATTCCACCATGGAGTTGATTACCAGTCTCATCAGGGGGAATATTATATCCAGCTACCCAGCTACTCAACCAGGCCCAGCCAAATTGACACACAAACTGAACCACCACAATTCTACCCCTTGTCAACTTGGCACCTGTACAGATCTTCAATGGGTGGCATCTGTACAGATCTCCTCCACTGGGTGGCTCCAGTCCTCTAGTTCCTGAGTGGCGACCTCACCCCCTTGGCCTGGCAGGCTCTGTTCCTCTCCCTCTTGGGCATGGCAGCTCCACCCCCTCACTCTTGGGCAGCTGCTATGGCTCCATCCCACTGGCTTACATGAACGAGCAGCCCCACACTCCAGAACCAAGTTGGTGAAGGCCTGGCTCTTTGAAATCTAGGGGGCTGTGGTCATTCCACCCCTAAAGGCCATGGTCCTACCCTTTGAGGCTGAGGAAGCTCTGCTTCTGTTTCCTTGGTCCCTCCATTTCTGTTGATTAATACTGAAGGCAACCCACTCTGCTGGAAAACCTGCCCCCAAAGCACTCGACTTTCTTGCTCTGGGGGCCAGCCAACCTGCAACTCCATTTCATGCCAGTCTCTTTTACCAATTAATGCCCAAAGGCAACCCATTCCGCCAGGAAGCCACCTACCCAGTGGAACCTGGCTTTCTTCTCTGTGTGCTGGTAAGCCTGCTGCTATTTATTGC